GAAACATCGACAGCACTTAACTCTTTGGTTACTTCTTCAAATGGTCTTAGTAAACCGATAAGTTTTTCAACAATCATCCACTCTTCAGAAGCCAGTTGGGAATTTTATTATTTGCCGAAGCGTACAGACATAATGACTCTTTGACTTGAAAAATACGCTCCAACATATAAAAAGTGCTGTTCCACCTAGTAGCACATTCTTGGACAATCTTAAGAGGTTTTTGATTAAGCCTTTTTTGTATATTGGTCAGCTCATCTTGGGCAGCAGTCGAATGATGAAAATGAGCCATCTTTTTGCATTTTGTTATGGCAGCCACGTCAGATTCTTGAGCCTTCATCCCTGCTTTTAACATGTTTTGAATCTTGTGAGAAGCACAGTCAATATGTTCAACATTTAATAAGTTAACACCTTTTTTCATATTAGCACCTGCATCGCGAACTACACATTTCACTTTTTCTTTGGGTATTTCCCAAAATGACAAGATGTCTTTAAGTTTGTTAGCAATATTTTCTGCAAAATTGCTAAATTACTAAATTTATCTGAACTTATCTAACTACACACCTCGCGCAAATGAGACTGCGTTCAGTGCTGGAAACAATTAAAATTGCCAAATTAAAAAAAAACTGAATATTCGCATTCGCATTAGTATTCGCGAATGTCGGTGGCATATATTCGCATTCGCATTTGCGAATGTTCAAAACATGACATTCGTTACACTATGTATGGTTATGTGCTTCGCCTATTGGAACAGAAAATGCACCCGCGACTTAAACTATGACTTATACTTGTTGTGAACTAATATTTTAATAAAGTTTAAATATAATTAATTCTGACTTTTAAGGATAAGCTATTGATTATAAATTAGCAATCCATTCATAAAGAGTTGAACAAATTCTCAGTATTAAACCTTCACGCTTAATTTGATGTTAAAAGCGAAGATACCTCTTAATGAATCAACAAGTTTTTATACGATTTGTTAAAATATTTACAGAAAAGGGGATTTTTGTATATTTGTAATGACGGATTTATGTATAATAACAGGGTTAGAGTTAAATCGAAAAATTAAAATTAGATATTTTAATTGTTTTAATAATAAAGTTCGTCCGTGGGTTTTTTCAAGTATATGACATTATTTTTTATTCCACATCTCTTTTTTGTCCATAGAATTTAAACCATGACATTAAGTCTCGTAATAGAGTACATAAAACAAAGACATCATTAGGATAATGGACGGTGATACTGGTAATAAAGAAAATTGTAGAGAATAACTCTGCTTTTTTCTTAAAAAACAATGTTTTATTCTATGGTTGATGAGTTTTTTCTTCGCTTTCATCTTTTTGTAGCTGTATATTCTTGTAAGTTATTCTTTGTGATTTTTTATCTATTGATGTTAGCTCATTTAAGTAATTTAAAATAAACTGGTGATGTGTATGGATTCAATAAAGCATACAGTAGCAAGATCCTGCTTTTGTTTTTCAAATTATGACCGATAACCCTCTCCTTCTACCCTTGTGAACTACATATGTTATCGTATCTAAATTGACGTTCGTATTCCTTTTTCCAATGTTATATATGTACAATGTGTCAATTTTTAAACTTACAATTTGAAATATCTCACGAACAAAAGCTGATATCGAAAAATGCTTGAAACCATTTTTAGGATAGTAAGGGGTAACCAAAATGACATGAAAGAGAACCCACCCCATCAACCCCTCTTCCACCACAACAAAAAAGTTTAAATTTCAAACCCTACTTGTGATACATCATTGAAAAGACTATAAAAAATGCTATCCAATGGTATAAATAATAATTATACAGAGTGAAGCAATAATTGTGAAACTTTGGCTTAAATGGAAAATTTAATGAGGTTTTTGTTGAACTACAAATTTGTTAAAAATGTCAATAAGTAAATGTTTAAAGTAGGTTCCGTTGTTTTGTAAACAATAATACAGCCTATTTTCAAATTCTGCACGAACTTTGGCAAATGTTGTTCTAGTAATAGCGAGACATGCTTGCGTAATTCTTTCTCGCAATTCCCCAAGTGACGCAGGTTGAGTTTTATAAACAACTGACTTGAGGTAACCCCATAGAAAAAAGTCAGGTGGCGGTAAGTCTGGTGACCTCGGTGGCCACTCAATAGGACCTCTCCTTCAAATCCATTTGTTCGGATAATTAGTATCCAACCAGTGCCTAACTGGAGCTGCATAGTGAGGAGGTGCTCCATCTTGTTGGAAGTGCAGCAAATCTTCGTCTAGAGCTAGGTTGCCTTGATCGTCCCTTTGGTTCTCTAATTTATGCACAATTAAAGGTTCGATAGTGTTTTCCAGCATATCGAGATAAATGTCCATTATTAATAAACATTATAAATATTAATACATTACCATTTAGCATAAAAGTACATTCATCAGTGAAACAAAATTTTTTAACATTCTCGGTTCAACGGAATTCTTTCAGTCATGAGTTCACAAAACTCAATTCGTCGGTCTGGATCATCATCGCCTAGTTCTTGAAGAATTTGTGTTTTGTACTGGTGAAACTTATGTAATTTCAACACCTTTCTAACGGACTCATGTGAAAGTCCTGTCATTGCAGATACTTGACGTGTTGATGCAGTAGGCTCTATTGCAAAATTTCCAAGGACCTAAATTTGGGATGCTTCATTCAGTAATCTTGGGGCATCCTTTTTTTATTTTGCACTGATCCCGTTTCTCTAAACTTTTCAACTAAATCGCGGACGTACACGTGACTTACATTTTTGTCCGGATGCCTTTTATGAAATATTTGAGCTGTTCGTAAATAACACTGGTTGTGGGAGGAACATATGAAAATGATTTCCACGTGTTCAGGTATACTGTAATCATACAAATGATGCAAACTAATGACATTTAAAATTCTCAAATAATTAAAAAATAATTGAATCCGACAAAACCCAAAAAACAGATGTTTTCAACTTATTTTACAAAAACCGCAAATTAAGCTTTTATTTACCAAAAAAAAATTCCGACGGGCACTTTCATTAAAAATAATAGTTCGGGAAATAGCACTACAAAATACCAAAGTTTATAGTAAGCTTCTTCTAGTTCCATGACCGTTATCGATCGTTGTATATCATGTTGGCTACCATATTCGCTATCGTGACTTTATTGACATTGACAGCTCTAAATAACGATGTAGTTGATTTTCCATACCATTGCCTTAGATTTTTCAGCCATGATGTTCTTCGTCTACCAGGACCACGATTACCTTGGATCTTTCCCTGAATGATCAGATGTAAAAGATCATATTTTTCAGGGTGTCTCATAATGTGACCGAAGTATTCCAGCTTGCATTTCTTTATTATATTGACCAGTTGTGTTGTTTGGCTCAGCCGTCTAAGGACCTCCTCATTTCTAACTCTGTCGACCCAGCTTATTTTCAGTAGTCGTCTGTATACTTACATCTCAAAGGCGTTTAAGCATAGCCTCAGTTAGAGTCCACGCTTCCACTCCATACAGCAGGTGAAATTAATAGTCTGGAGTGATAATTGCGGCGCACAAAATAAAAACCGATGTTGCTTTACTTATGGTTTTACTGATCGCAGAAGGTTTATTGACGAATATAGAACAAAAATACCTTGTTTCAGGCCACTCTTTTTAAGTTGCGATCGCGACTTCGCACAAATAGAGAAAAAGAAGAGAAAGATCCCGTTGCGAGGTTCCTTTAGATTTAGTCAAATTAATTGTTTCTGCACGGCTTGGTCACCTCTACGTAGCAACATTATTAAAGACTAACGATTTTTATGATTTCGATGCTGCATCTGCAAGAACTCTTAATACGCAACGGTCAAATGTCTCAACTTAACTGCATTAGGATAGTGAAAAATAAACCTGGAAAAGTACTTACTCGTAAAACTTTCAGTGATTTGGAGGAATGGCAAGAAGTGAGCGTTTTTAAGAAAGGCATTACTATGGAAAATGTTGCATCGTTCTTATTACCGTTGGAATGTAGAAGCAGGTTGACGGCGGACAAGAAGAAGGACCTTGGCGAAATGATGAGATACTTAAGTGAAGAAAGTAAAGACTTTTTTCAAGAATTATTACTTTAATACTGAAACACTTTATTTTGCTTTAATTTGTTAATCAGGTCTATTGAATAAAAATGATATTTCCTAATTAATAATGACTTCTTTACTCTAAGGGTACATAAATTTTGTCTTGTTTAGAATTATTTAAGCATATTCTATTAACTTATCCTTTGGCTCAATGTTTACACATAACCCTTTATATAAGAAATTACCTTGTGCACATATCCCGTTATATTTTTTTAAACTAAAGAAATTATTTTTATCAGTGTGTACGTAACTAAACAATTCAAAAAACCATAGACTTGTGTAAAAATGTTTGTACTTTGCAATAAAATACAAGATTATAACATTTTTCTTTTTCCACTGTGTTTACTGAAAAAAACTCATTTTTTGTAAAATAATGGTTTTGTTGCTTAGCCTGTTATATATTTCCACTCTTCAATTTCAAAATATGAAAAACGTAATGGAGAATAAATGAAATATTTTTGTAATTGCATATGAGACATAAGACCATTCAAAGGAATTTGTTCATTTAACACTGTATGTTGTAATGATGTTTGAGTCATCACTTGGTTTGTGCAGATAATAAAGACCTCGTTCAATATCCGTATAAAATTTTCCAAAACACATGAAGTAAACCTCTTAAAAGCTATTATCTAATTTTCACATATATCTTTAAAGAACTCTTGAAATTGTAGTTTTTTGTCCTTTTCAGACCAAAAGTCAATACTCTTGACTGAAACCAATTACAGACAATCAAAGAAACGTAATTTCCACTTTTTTGTACTAGAGTAGTACAAAAAATCGAGACGAATCCTTGACTTTGGTTTATTATAGGCGATTTTTACCTGTATATAAGCAAATCAACAAGCTGTGAAATTAATTTCATTTCGTTTGTGTCTATGTCGACTCCGCAGCGAAGAAAAAGGACCGTAAAATGAGGGGGTTTATTGCAGTGGTTGTAAGTAATGATATTCAATAATTTAGAAAATTTTAATGTCTTGTTTATGAATCTTTTTTTTTTCAATTTCTTATTTATTGGTTTATTATTTTATTTCTTTTTCGTTTATTCGTTTATTTTTCTTTTGATATCTCGTTGTTTTGTTCAATCATTTTCTTCATCATCCATTCATTTAGATGATATTATTTTTCAGTTTTAAAAATATGTCGCAAAAAGGTTCGTTATTAGGTTAATAACGCAAAAGAGCATTCATCGAGAGCATTTTTATATTATGTAATGGATTTGACCGTTACTTGATAGAAGTTCATTTTATCAAGCCATAAAACACTAAAAACTAAATAGGTAAAAGAAATAATAAATAAGACTTACTCACAATCACTGATTGTGAGTAAGTCTTATTTATTATTTCTACTGATTGTAAGTAAGTCTTATTTATTATTTCTTTTACCTATTTGAAATGGACTCACACAAGCAACACATTCATGATTTTACTAAAAACTTACTTTTGTTTTCAACACTTCCACACATTTTTATTATAATTAATTATAAACTACAGCTGTTTCGACAGAGTGCCTTTCTCAAGTGAGCTATTTTTGTTATACGATAAACACTTTATAGTCTTTAACTAAATAAGTTGAGAAGAGGAGAATTGTTGGTCTCAAGTTAGTAATTCAGAATTATGTCCTAATTTTTTAATTTGTTAATTTCCATGTATTCTAATAATGATAGCTTAAAACCTTTTTTGAATGTGAACAATTTGAAATTGGGTATTAAAAGAATGATTATGATCTAGAAGGTGAAGTGCGTAAGTAGAATCTGTTTTTCTATTATTAAAAGCCTGGTTCTGTTCTGCCATCCGTTTGATAAAAGTTCTACCCGTTTGACCGATGTAAGTTTTTGAGCAGTCGGCTTATGTAAGTTTGTATACCCCACTGTGTAAGTGCTTTTTGTTTGACTCTTGTTGTTCTTAATATATTTGCTTAAGTTGTTGTTTGTTCTGAAAGCTGACGTTATTTCTTTATTTTTTATATGTTTGGCTATTTTTGATGATACCTTGCATGTATATGTAATTGAACAGAAAGTACTGGGTTTTTTCTTTGTTGGTGGAAATACTAATTTCAGGAGTTTCTTATGCAGTTTTTTCCAATTTCAAATTCTTCACATTCAAAATAAAGGCTTTAAGCTATCATTATCTATGGATATTAACAAATTAAAAACTACATATATAATTCTGAATGAACAACTTGAGACAAACAATTCTCTCCTCCTCAACTTATTTAATTAAAGACTATAAAGTGTTGGTAGCATAACATTTATAATAAAAAATTGTGGAAGTGTTGAAAACAAAAATTTTCTGTATTTTTATACATGCACTTTTTATATTTTTGTGTCCTTCCATAAAATTCGCTCCTTACCTACTCTGCCGTCCTAACATGAAAGGTCCTATCTGCAAAATTTAGGTTTTGAGAAAATCAAGTTTTTGTTTCTTTTCATTGTATAACGCTTGGTAATTTAAAGAAGTCTTTATGTTTTATTTTATATATTATGTCAGAGAATAGAATTTAATTGCTAGTCAGAATTTTGTTTTATTCTTTCCAGATTAGTCGATTTTTGATTAAATTGCCACTTAGGACAATTTAGCTTAGTGTATCTGAAGTACGTTTTTTTGTATTACTTACTGAAATTGTCCTAAATAAAACTAAAATTCAAATTAACTGAACACTTTTAATTTTATTATACTAAGTTTTATAAAATAATAGAACAAAAAATAGTATTCCTCAAGAATGGAGATCAAGGGAATGGGAATTAATTTATGAAACACAACACTAAAATTAACAACCAAAGTGATAACAAATAAACTGAATAATATTTATAATGAGGCAAATGCAAGAGAAATCATTAGAATACAACAAACCGGCATATCTATGTTTCGTGAACCTTAAGAAGGCATTTTACTGGGTTAAACTAAAAGACGTTATCCACTTACTGTACGCAAGAGAGATACCTCCAGGAATAATCAAAACGATCAAAAATATCTACCAAAAAAACACAATAAAAGTAAAAGTAGAAGAAGAACTAACCGACCCTATTGTAACTGGCAATGGGATAAGGCAGGGAGATTCTATGAGTCCTTTATTATTTAACCTGATTATGGATGAAATAATAAAAAAAGTAACTAAAAAAGGATACCAAATGGTAGAAAAACAACTTAAAATAATCTACTATGTAGACGACGCAATACTGATCTCTCAAAGTGAAGATGATTTACAACTTATGCTGCACCAATTTAATATAATCGCCAGAAAAATGTTAATTTACCCAAAAAAGACAAAATGCATGCTTACAACAGCAAATTTACTAAGATGTAAATTGGAGCTGGAAGGTAAGATAATAGGAGAAGTGATGGAGTTTAAATATCTAGGCATCACATTATCTAGCTACAGAAAGCTCAAAACTGAAGTGGAAGTTCAAGTGAATAGAGCAAACAGTGCCGCATGCTGCCTGAATGAAACAATATGAAGAAATAAAAATATCGGAAAAGAAATGAATGACAAAATTTACAAAACAGTCATCAGACCAATAATGGCATACGCAGCAGAAACAAGACCTGACACAGAGAGGACAAAAAGGATGTTAGAAACAGAAGAGATGAAAACACTTAGAAACATTGATGGCAAAACACTATGGGATAGAGCTAAGATAAGATACAGAGTACAGAGATACAATGTATATGCAAGGTGAGGTACATCAGACAAAGTAAGAATATTAAGAACTGTGTAAGAAATAGAAGAGTAGAATGGAACGATCATACAAGCCGAATGACAACAAATAGAGTAGTAAATACGGCAAGAGACGGTTCCCCAATAAGAAGACGATCAGTTGGAAGACCACGAAAACGATGAGATCAGTAGGAAGACCACGAAAACGATGAAACGGCAACTTACTGGAGGTACATTGAAAAACAGACAGAGTCATGTCTATATAAAAAGAAGAAGAAGTTTTAAAACTTAGTACACAATTTACATCCTAATATATGTAACATAAATGATAATAGTTAGATTCGAAACTAGAATCCGACTCATTTCCATTTATATTATTGTCGAATTTATTGGACGTCCCAGGTGCATAATCTGGATCATTCTCGCTTTTGGCTAAATACCATACGTTTACACCTATCGCTGTTCTGGCTACGACATGCTGCATTGCTACAACCAGAAAATATAGACGCATGTGCGTCTATATTTTTTGCTACTACTACAAACAATAATTACGATCAGTTATTGCTTATACCTAAGGTAACATTATTAAACTTACCCTTCATCCATTTCTCACAATATATTTACTTAAAATACCAAAAAGCATGAGAGTATTCCCAATGTCTGACAATAACAAATACCCTTTTTAATTAATTATTTGAAGTTATGTTACACACATGCTTATATCATACTAGGCAAAAATTGTCCTAAATGATGCCGCTCAGTATAAAATACTAGCTTAAATAGTCCTAACTGCATTTTTAAAGTCAAAACGGACAATTTTTCTTAGTATATGTGAGATAGGACAATTTATGTTAGTGAACATGGCTTTTTAGTCAGTTAGGACAAACCATTTAGGTATATAATAAGGCACTTAAGACGCTTATAGGACAATTTCATTTTGTACATACATAGATAATATGTTTACGAATGCCGTGAGCCAATAAAGTCATTTTACCAAATTTTGCAGATAGGACCTTTCATGTTAGGACGGCAGTACTGTTTACCATCCTGCTGCTGTTTTTTGTTTGAGATATTCTTGTATCTCATCAATTATGCCAAGACAGGGATTTCTTTGATCTCCTCCTATTTCGATTTCACTTATATAGCTTTTTGTAGCAATATTTCCATGTGATTTGACTAAAAGCAGATAAAATGTAAAAAGAAATCTCTAAATAATGAGCATTTTAATGCACATATTTTTGAAAAATAGTAATAGATTATGTTTAATATATGCAAAGAATGTTTAAAATATGCAAATAATATTTAAAATATGCATTTAATATTTGGACCAGGTTTTGAGTAAAACTAATTTTTAAGGACTTAAAAATCTATGTATTATTATAAAGAATCAATTACTACAACAAAAAATGAAATTGAAACAAATCTAAAATAAGCTTATATAATTTTACTATATAATACAATAGATACTATATTAGCAAAACCTAGAAACTTATCCAATAAAAATGTGCACTCTTTAATTAATTACTTTTAATAATATGAAATGAGTTCACTATAATATGTTTTTCAAAATTTTCTACAAGAAATGATTAGATTAGACTAGTTTAGACTAGCTTCTTTGATCTGTACAGCTTAAAACTATTTTTATATACAGTTAGAGGCAAAATTTTTCAATAATTTAATTTTTTAGACATTATGCGAAGAAAAATCTCAAAACAGGTCGGTTTTTATAATTAAATTATGATTTTTTTGGCGTATATATCACACTATTGCATGCGTTCATAACTATTGTTGTTTTAAATAAAGCCGGAGATACACATGCCTGTTACTAGCACAATGGCATACCAGTACCTAGCAAGCACCAGCTACTGTCCCCAAACTGGCAAATGTGTACGTTAACTGGCATGCTAGCTAATCGCACAGAATTTGATTTTTCTTGCTAGTAGCATGCTGTGAGATGCAAGGCGCATGCGTGGGGAGTGTCACTGGCATGTGTGAACGCGCGCTACCGCTACGGGCATGCCAGTAGCTAGCAGAGAATTGTCAGATTTGTTTTGTTACTCACTCACACTCACAGCACGCTACTAGCAAGAAAAATCAAATTCTTTGCTATTAGCTAGCATGCCAGTTAACGCATGATACTATGACTAAGAAGATAAGATATTGCGCATAAGTCATGACGTAATTGGAGAGTTGCACGTTCGTAATGTTAGTTTCTTCTTATAGTTTTTTAAATATTATATTATTATTATCTTTTGTACACAAATAACACAAAAAAGTCATTTAATCTTACTCTGCTAATTGAATAATTTCATCACAGAATGCATACAAATCCCATTTAACTTTAACAAGAATTCAAATTCTACTCTCCAATGACGGCATGCGCGAACACGACCGATTTTGTGCTACGGGAAGATCCTATCTTGTTAGTCATAGTATCATGAGTTAACGTACACACTTGTCAGTTTGGGGACACTAGTTGGTGCTTGCTAGGTACTGGTATGCCATTGTGCTAGTAACAGGCATGTGTATCTCCGACTAAAGAATAGTCGCCGTGTGCTAGCTCACTTCAAATATTATTTAGTGTTACAGACCTATAAGTTTGTTGTCACACTTATACAAATTGTTAACAAGAATAATAACCATCCGCATAACACAAAAACTTGATTTATATCAACCGGTTGAACAGGCGGGATTTAGAAAAGGGTTTGGTACTAATGATCACTTACAAACCATCAGAACACTAGTAGAAAAAACCACAGAATATAATGTACCTTTACATATGGCATTTATCGACTTTCACAAGGCTTTCGATAGTATTGAGACTTGGTCCTTTTTGTCAGCCCTGAAGGATGCTCGAATAGACTCACGGTACACTACACTCATTAAAAACATTTATGAACAGGCCACATTCCACATCAAAATCAATGAAGACGAAAAAACTGAAAAAATGCGCCTTGATAAAGGTATTAGACAAGGTGATACTATTTCACCAAAGCTTTTTACCTTAGCATTGGAAAATGTATTCAAACAGCTTGACTGGGAGGAAAAAGGTCTAAACATTGATGGTGTACGTTTGAGTCATTTGAGGTTTGCGGATGACATAGTATTATTTAGTACAGATATCAAGGAACTGGAGCAAATGTTGAAGGAATTAAACCAGCAGTCAAATAAAATAGGTCTCAAAATGAACCTTCAGAAAACAAAAATAATGAGTAATTTACAAACTAATCTTGTTATTGACAACGTCAGTCTTGAAAATGTAGACCACTATATATATATATATATATATATATATATATAATATATATATATATATATATATATATATATATATATATATATATATATCTTGGACATACCATTAAAATCGGCAAAGAAAATCAAATAGCCGAAATAAAAAGACGCATACAACTGTCTTGGGGAGCTTTCGGCAAATTAAGCTTTATTTTGAAGAATAAAGATATACCAATGTGTCTAAAACGTAGAGTTTATGACAAATGTATCTTGCCTGTAACTACATATGGACTGGAGACCATGGCCTTCACAAAGAAAACCTTAGAGCAGCTCAGTACAACCCAAAGAGCAATGGAGAGGGCCATGCTAGGGATTAGTTTGAGAGACAGGATTCGAAATAACGTCATTCGTGAAAGAACAAAAATTACTGATGTCTCAGAACGTATTGCAAGGCTCAAGTGGCAATGGGTCGGACACGTTGCCCGAGATAATCCCGAAAAATGGACACAAAGATTAACAAACTGGAGACCAAGAGAGAACAGGCGAGGAGTAGGCAGACCGCAGAAGAGGTGGACAGACGATATCAAACAAGTCGCGGGCAAGCAGTGGATGAGAATTGCCAAAAGTAGAAATCGATGGAAGCAAATGGAAGAGGCCTATGTCCAGCAGTGGACGAACACAGTCTAAGAAGAAGAAGAAGAAGAAGTTCTATTTATAGTCCAAGGTAATAAAATATTTGTCGTGACACTCATATACCCAGGCTATTCAATGTTTTTTTATGTATTATGCTTAAACAAACAAATTATCATAAGTTCTAGTTCACTTTCGAGGCTACGCGCAAAGAAGCCTTGGTTGGGTCTGACAACTGTTATATTATATAACCAACCGCTCATTTTAGGTCTCAGGCTCTACGTTTTTCCTATAGAAGGTCTATAGAGTGTGTCATTTTGATTTTGTTATTTGTCAGGGTGTACATTGACTAAACTTCATATTAAGGATAACACTACTCATGCTCGAAGATGAATTATTAATTTCCTCCTTATTAATAAATAAAACAAGTGTCGTTTTACTAACAATATTAGATTTAAAAAGTTGTTCTTTTGAACAGAAGTATTAGATAGGCTTAGAAGAGAACATTTTGTTGCTCCGCAGTTAGCATATTATAAATACAACCTTTGTTTTGTTTGTTTATACCTTTTTTATTATTACAGGTCTCATCATTATTAGCTCTCATCCTAATAGTATCCCAATGCAACGCACTTCCCAATGCTTATCCGTGGGGCGGCAATAGAGGCGGCGGTAGGGGCTATGGCGGAGGTGCAGGATATGGCTATGGTGGCGGATACGGTGGTGGTGGCGGCGGCGGTGGTGGAGGAGGAGGTGGAGGTGGTGGTGGATATGGAGGCGGTTATGGCGGTGGATATGGTGGAGGATATGGAGCTGGCTATGGTGGTGGACGTAGACACGGCTATGGCTATGGAAGATAACGTGTTGGAAGTTACGAAAAAAGTTCACTTAATTAATGGCGAAAGATTTTATAATGTGTTATTTTTGTAAATGTGCAATCTGTAATATAAATTATTATGTACCATAAATATTACCATTACTTATATTATTTTTAGAAGAATCTAAGGAATATTTGTGATAATGATATTGTACAACAAAACAAAAAAATAGTAAAAGACTAGAGTAAAACCTAACAAGCTATTAAAAAAAGGTCTGAAGTCATTTCTCTCCATCATCAATTAAGGGGTCGTCAGCGTATTCGTCATCATTTTCTTGTTACTCTTTCCAGATCTGTTCCGTCGACATTGACCTTCACCCTTCTGTTTTGGTGCTTGCTGATGACCATCGTTTTTGTCTTCTTTGTATTCAATTTCATTCCAAATTCTCTACAGGCTGTCGTTACTCGGTCCATTAAGCGTTGCAGGGCTTCAGCATTATCTGCCAGTATGACAGTGTCATCAGCATATCGCAGGTTATTTATACATTGCCCGTTTATAATTATACCATCCGAGGTGCCTTCCAAAGCTTTCTGAAATATCTTCTCAGAGTAAACATTGAACAGCAAAGGTGATAGGACACATCCCTGTCTTACTCCCTTCTCGATATTGATTTTTCCAGATGTTTCGCTTTTTATTCTGATTTTAGCCTTTTGTTCTTGGTAGAGGTTTGAAATGATCCTTAAGTCTTTATCGTCGATATTACATGACCTTAAAATATCTATTAGTTTATCATGTTTCACCAGGTCAAACGCCTTCTGAAAGTCTATAAAACACAAGTATACATCAGAATCGACATCTCTACATCTTTCAACTAGCACACGTATTGAAAAAAGTGCTTCTCTTGTTCCGAACCCATTCTTAAAACCAAACTGAGTTTGACCAGTGTGTTCGTCTAGTTTATTGTATACTCTATTGTGTATTACTCGTAGGAAAAGCTTCAACATATGATTCATCAGGCTAATAATCCTATGGTCTTCACATTTCTTGGAGTTTCTCTTCTTTGGTAGTGGTATAAACACCGATGTCAGCCAATCATTTGGTATTATGCCTGTTTCGTATATTTTGTTAAATATATCTTCCATTACTTCGATGTGTTCGTCTAGTAATATCTTTATTATTTCAATTGGGATATTATCTTCCCCAACAGCTTTTCCGTTCTTTATCTGATTTGCCGCTTTGATAATTTCTTGCTTTGTGATATAAGGTCCAGTCGATGCCTCCTGCATGTAAATGTTCGTCCTCTCTCGGTCTTGAAACATCTCTTCCACGTATTCTCTCCATCTACCTATTTGATCTTCTATGTTCAGTAGCGGGTTCCCATGTTTATCTTCGATGAAAGACGTAGGAGTTTGTTTAAATATTCCAGCGGCTTCTTTTACTTTTTTATGTAGATTGAAAGTATCATGTCTTTGTTCCAACTCTTCAATTTCTTGGCATCTTTCACTTAGCCAGGTTTCTTTGGCTTGTTGGATCTTTATTCTGATATTCTTGTGTATTTGCTTGTATGTTGTTTCATTTTACCTCTGTATTTTCTTCTTTCGTCCATCATGTTTAGAATTTCTTCTGTCATCCATGGTTTGTTCTTTTTTCGTGTATCTTGTTTGAGGTAGTCTTCTGTTACTCTTGTAAGTGTTTTCTCAATATAGTGCCAGTCTTCCTCGGGAGTTTGTGTCGATTGTACTGTTCTGTTACTCAAGTGTCTATGTATTTCTTCCCGTATTTTATTACTAGTGGATTCTTCTTTAAGCTTATCTGGGTTAATAGCTATTATTTGCTTATTTCTTTTTGTTCTTTTAAATTCTATCCTAATTGTTGCAAGAAGAAGATTGTGGTCGGTGGGGATGTCAGCTCCGGGGTATGTCTTGCATGCTTTTACTGCGTTTTTGTATCTTTTGTTGACCATTATGTAATCGATTTGATTTCTTGTGATGCGTCCTTCTATTCCATCTGCTGGAGATTTCCACGTGTAGAGACGTCTGGGTGGTAACTTGAAAAAGCTGTTCATTATACTGTACTGATTTTCTTTACAGAACTGAAGCAGTCTATCTCCCCTCTCATTTCTTATTCCGAGGCCAAACTCCCCCACCGTGTCATCTTCTCTTCCTTTTCCAATCTTGGCGTTAAAGTCTCCTAATATTATGTTGGTTTCATGCTTCTTTGTCTGCAGTAGAGTTTTGTTTAGGTCTTCGTAAAATTGTTCTATTTCTTCTTCTGTGCTTTGATTAGTTGGGGCATATACCTGGATAATATTCATATTGACTGGTTTGCTGTCTATTTTTATTAGCATTATTCTATTTGATGTTGGTAGTAATCCAGAAACTAATTTTGCCAAGAACTGCAAATAATTATTACCATTTCAATTGTTGGGAAGAAATACTGGGCCTATTAGATTGTTATCCACAATTCCTGCCAAACATTAACTTTGAAAGTCCTTTGGTGATGAGTCGTTTTTTTTGGCGTGAGGATTTTCGTCAGGCCAAATGTGCTCGTTATGATGGTTTGTTATTCCATTTCTACTGAAGGTAGCCTCGTCGGTAAACAAAATATTTCTAATAAAATTAACATTTCGAGTGTTTTCCATTAACAACCAATCGCAAAATCCAATCCTTTTAGGATAATCTTCAACCAATAACTCTTGAACCGTTGTTAAGTGATAGGGTTTAAGCAGCTGATCCTTTAAACGCCTCCAAACCCTTACGTGAGGAACATTTAGTTGAGCTATTACCCTTGTACTTGTTCCAGGGACTTCTTCAATGATTTCTAAAATGTCTTCATCAGTTGCATCCATTATTGGACGACCACTATTGCTAGCAACTTGCGGTTGGAATGTACCCGTTTCCCGTAAACGACGATCAATGGTCAGAAATAATCGTCTATCGGGTGTATTTCGATTGGGGTATTTTACTGCATAACGCCTTGCGGCTGCTGCACTATTTCCTTGACATTCACCTACGATATTCCCGATAGTTTATTGAAAGTATAATTTAATCTGATCCAACTTACCCAAAGTTAAATGCATATCTGCCATTTCCTGAAATGTGTAGGCCATTGTAATATCAAAATTTTTAATATTAATCTTATTCACACAATAAATGATAGCTTCAAATATTGAATATTATTGATGGAACTGTTTGTAATAATTGTATCCGTAGAAACTAATTGTAATTTTATGTGCACCCCCTTAAAATGTTTCTGTGCGCTCAGATTTTGTTGTTTCTTTTGAATGAAAAATTCTTTCAGAACAAGAAAGTAGCATGTCCATTTTTATTACAAAATGTCAAGTAGTTTAGGAGATAATGCAAAAAACAATTTTTATTTTGTAACTTCAAAGGGCTGTAACTTTTTTGTGTACACTTTTGTACTAAGGTAAGTTGGATTCAATCAATTTATTTTTATCCCCGGAATGCGTGATTTAATTTATGACATACCTTTTTGAAACAGCCTGTAGTTTTAAGTGGTAAATTCACGTATAATTATGATAGTTTGTAATGATCTGCATATCCCTTTGAATAATTGAACCAAAACAAACTTCGAAAAGTTGCACATCCTCCTTGAAAGAAATAAAGAAGACTAATCAACACCACGTACCTATCTGGTGATAAATTTGTAGGAAACATTTAGCTTTAATAAAACAAAATTACATTTTCCGCCTATTACAGTGGACGGTGATTATTTCGTCCTTAGTAGATAAATATTCGAAACGTTTGAGTCTGCGGTGTTATTTCCAATTTACAACGCACTTCTTGTTGTTTATAAACATTTAAATTGCATTTTGCTGGAATTGGGGATATGCAAATTGGGTAATGAGCCTCCTTGACTCTGAAAATTTCCGTAATTTTGAAAGAGAATTTTACTTCCGCGTTTTCGCATGTTGTGTTTCGTGAGTTGTTTAGTTATTAAAAAATATTGTACATTCATGGTATTTAAGTATAAAGAAGTGGTTTTTGGACTATGATATTGTACAGTAAATTTACAAAGTCCTGTTATTATTTAATGAAATATTAAACAATATGGGTTATTAGAGTCAGCTTAAATTGACAAAAGAAGGAATGACAAGGAAAGATAGTTTTTAAAGAAAAAAATATTAGTCCCAGAAAGATATTCCATATTGTTTTGATTATTAGCAACTAACTACGAGTTCTAACAACTACATATTATTACATGGACACTTCGCCAGTGCGAAATGTGTTTTTAACATTTTAAAATTGCTATTGACTTCCAAAATATTTATCATTGACACATTTGAGGGAGCACCATCAAATGTAAGACACACAACACAGGCTCCAGAATCAAAAACCAATTTCATGCATTGAGAAACAATAGTGCTTTTTTGTTCACCATTTGAGCCACCAACAAAATAAATCCAAGTGGTAACTTCCAAGTTCCATTAATGTTTACAGTCATTACAACAAAAGCTTCTTTTGCCATTGAATTACAGCCATCATCTAAATCATTGCCATAGTTTACATATGCATGGAACTTTTAACCATCCCACTCTATATTATGCTTTCGAATGGTCATTTCATATATGTTTCTTCTACAAGAAGACTTAATAAAATGGGCTTAGTGGAAGTCTCAACATATTTCTTCAACACATCGAAGGATTCAGAAGTGAAACCTGGATCGACATCAATGATTTTAAACCATTTCCCAATGGTGCTTCTATGGACAAGCAAGTCTCAAACATAATCATAACCTTCCGGGGAAAACCACAATGTAATAGTAAACTTTCTAATTTCAGTAAATATTTATTACATTTTCATGTCTTACATTTAACACTGACTGTTGAGAACTTAATTTCTTGTTTCTTTTTAAATCTTTTATAATTTGTTTAAGCAAGACAACTCTCTTTTGTAACAAGAAAATATTAGTAAAAGTTTGTAGAAAAGGTCGAACAAATACTCTAATACAAGTAATAGCTGAATGGAATCATTAAACTGGATTATTTATCTTCTCTTTCCTTGACAGAATGCACAAAAATGTTATATTGCCATAACGGCCTTTTTTAGAACACATCGCCTGTAGGAATATGTGGCAGTGGCAGGTTTTGTTGTTGATAATCAAAGCATAAGACATCAACTGATTGG